TGGATATAAAGACAAGTCCAAGCTCCCTAGCTCGTTCCTCTGTCACAAAATTATGTGTCGCACATGTGTCTACCATGATGCGCACGTCTTTGTCGTTTTATTTGGCATCGACAAATAATGATTCACGGGGCCTCACACGAGGCGGTTGGGCAGCAACAGCGGCAATGGTCATATGGTTTATCAAGGCCATATGATTGAACAAGCCTACGGCCTTGTTCTTCCCTTGTCCTGCACCATCAGCTGATGCTCTTCGCTCATCGGGTTGCTTGTCAGTAGGCGCAGCAGTTTGTCCTTGCTACTGGTGGGCTGCAACAATTGCTCCTAATTTGTTCATTGTAGGGCAATTTCGAGCAGCATGAGAAGGGTCTCCGCAAAGATAGCAAACATCTCGCTGAGCAGCCTTATGTGCGCCTCCTTTTCTCTTCTCATCATAATCCTTGCGGTAATTAGAAGAGTGGTTGCGGTTGCCTCTGTTATCGTTGTTCCGACGGGGAACAAATTTGCCTTTGCCTCGGTGGGTGTCCGTCTTTGGAGCAGCAACAGCTTGGCTCTGATTGTTATTTCCCTTAGACGCTCCGGTCCGGAAATCTAACAATGATTCGGCTACTACAATAGCCTCATCGACGTTGTCGATCTATCGCCTTTGCAATTCTTGTTTGGCCCAATGCTGCAAGCCATCCAAGAAATGGAACAATAGATCCTCACTGGTCAAGTTGGGGATCTGAAGGGTGAGTTTTGTGAAATCCCTCAAGTACTCACGGATGGAGGATGTTTGCCTAAGCTCCCTCAACTGTCGGCGAGCCTCGTGCACAACGTTTTGAGGATAAAACTGTCGTTTTAGCTCCTCTTTGAACTGCTTCCAAGTGTCAATGAAGCACGTTCCTTTCTCCATATCTGCCTTCTTCCTGCGCCACCAAAGTATGGCAGTTTCTGCTAGGTACATGGCTGTCGTTCGGATTTTGGCAACATCGTTGGTAATGCTTACATGTTCGAAATAAGCATCGAGCTGGCACAAGAAGTTTTCCATGTCTTGAGCGCTTCTTTCACCCCGAAATTCTTTGGGTTTAGGAGCCTCAATATGTGTTTCTCGGACAGTGATGGGACCTCGCCCAGTGGTTCCTGCTGTCTCCTCTAGACGCAATTTTAAAGTTTCAACTTCTGCCTGTAAGGCAGACAAAGCCTCAGTGAGCTTGAGTTCAAGGTTGGTTAGCCCTTCATCTTGCTCCTGAACGTTCCCTTTGACTTCTCCAAGTCCATCAAGGGCAACTGACTCAAGTGAACAGATATTGTTTTCGGCAGCGGAAATACGACGGTGTACGGCCTTCAGACCCTTTTCTACCAACTCAACTCTATCATCGAGGGATGTAGCTTCGGAAGGTTCCGGTCCATCGTAGGGCAGCAACTCGCTATCAGGTGGAGATGCGTCTCTGGCCTTACTTTTGTCGCGCTTTCGACCCATACCTCTGTGGTTCTAGGTTCTCTTTGATCTGGGTTTCGTCTATGTTGCGATGTGAGTTCTTAGCCATGCACCTAGGCTCCGGTACCAATTGTCGCGGAACCATTTTTCTGAGGGTTCGGCGAGGGCAGCGAAGTTAGCCTGACCGCTACTTAGCTTCAGCCCTTAGACAATAAATAGCACAATCGTGCTAAAGCGATGGCAATCACACGAAACAAGCAAGAAAGCTATGAAAGAAAGAGACTCGAATTTGGGAGGCAAGTGCCAATTTTCTGTTGTATTATGCAATATCTGATGCTTACAAAGAATGAGTATAAAGCCTATTTATAGAAACTAAAATGGCTATACAAAGGGGGTGGTTGGCAGGGCTGGTAAGGCTATTCCAGCATGGAAAGCTGGAAAGGCAGACTTTGAGGGATCCTGCTGTCAACCATAGCCAAGAAGGTCAAAGATGCCTTCCCACTTTCGGCTGCTTGTCTCTTGGTCTGCTGACTTTCTGCCAAAGGTGCCTTCTGATGGCATCTCATGATTTTTGTGTGGCCCCAAATGTTTTCCCACTGATGGTAGTCCGAGATTTGGGCTCGGACAAGCCACGCTGTCGTTGGAATTGCTGAAAATTAATAAGTGTGACGGCGGGGCGGTGCACATGTCCTTATACGACCATTCTGACTTTTATGTGTTGACAGTCATTCTTTTGTATATAGACTGACCACCGTGTCCATACTTTGTTGGCAGCCTTGTAAAGGGTAGGTAAAACATGACAGTATAATGTGACTCATGCATTGCATACACCATGACATGTTAACTCACTGACCAACTACACCGCAATCACAAACTAGTTGAGGTCAGTTGTACGAACCAAAATATCCATTGTTTGTCTTTTAAGACAAACTAGAGGGAGCAAAACTTTTAGTAACTGACTACTGGAGTATTGGGTATTCATAAACGAATCTGAAGAATTCTTGAGATAACTAAAGCATCAATTATCACTCAGTCTCCAATCTTATATCCAGATCCAACCGCCGCACCTTTAGTGATGCTACTAAGCTCTGTAAATTAACACGATACAGATAAAACCCCACAAGTTAGACATGATGAGGCAATTCAGGTTTGAACAAAAACCAACCGAGAAGGTAAACAAATCTTTCAGTAGAGAAATTAGTACTCCCTCCATTTCAATTTAAATGACACACTTTCCTTATTAGTCCGTTCCAAAAAGAATGACACATTTTTATATTTGGAAACAATTTAACTTTAAGCTTTTCATTTTACTCACTTTACCCTTAATGAGAAGTTTTTATAGCCACAAACGTCATAGCCCCACAAAGCTTTTACCCCTTAAGCTTTTAGGACCACATATTTCAAATCTTTTTTTTCTTCTTAAACTTTGTGCCAAGTCAAACTACATCATCAAAATTGAAACGGAGGAAGTATTATATATGAATGTCAATTGCATAATAAAACTGTGAAGAAAATGGACCTTGGGCCTAACTCAACCTCAAAAGCTAGATCATGAGGTGAGGATTGCCCAAGATTATATAAGGAGAGAACAATCCATCCCTCAACCAATGTGGAACACTTATCACCCCCTCGCACGCCAAGACTGGACATTTGGGGCATAGACAATGTAACATGGGGGTCCACAATTGGGTAAACCAAGAGTTGGGATGGGTCTTGGCTCGACCTTGGGCCTAACTCAATCCCAAATTCTAGCTCATGAGGTGAGGATTGCCACAAACAGCCCATCCCTCAAACAACGCGAGACACTTAACAAAAACAAATTATTCTCTTCATTCCAGGGGGTTGGTGTTGTGGGGAAAGGTTTTCCTGGCACTGTTAAGTTAGGGGAGAAAGGCCAGTGGGAATACCAGCTTATATCTCTTAACATAGCCTCTCTTTCCTCAAGGGACCGACGCCAATGGATAAAGTCATATTCATCCATTTCAATGTTTCGTCTCAGCTTGGGAATTTTGTACACCTCTCCTCGTTCTTGTGCTTCCATTCTTAGTTTATTATGGTGCTGCATTACAATAACAAAAGCCACACAAAGAGGACATATCTTGTCATTAGATGCCTTTAAGAAGAAATTTTTTAGATACAAAAAACCTTTTAAGTGAACAAAGGAAACGATAAGCAGAAATTTTCTCATGTATATGTGTTGCTCCACATCATCTGTACAGAAAATTTTCTTTAATAAGTTAACAACAAATGCAGGCTCTTTTGAAATTGAAACTTTTAGCAGGACTGAGTCATCCTGTATTCTAACCCAAAGGAGCCTATATGATTATCATTTTTTGTCTATACTTATCCCCAAGATATATAAACCATTGTTGAACTCTACATTACTAAAAGCTGATTACTCATTGTAATGAATTAGACAATTCAGTCTACCCTGCTTGTACACCGCAGATGTTTACTTTAAATATGGCATGTAATATACCAGTAATGAATATTCCTGCTCTCCACAAAAGTTCTCTTCCCAAGGTCAGACATTAGATTGAGATTCTTTAAATTTTCTTTAACAGGTTCTCAAAAGGTTCAAAATTGTAGCATGTATTATGTAGTTTATCTCTTTTTCTTTCTTTAAACAAGTGTATCATGTAACTTCTAAGTCTCTAATTTTATTGTCAAAGGCTAGATTCATAAGCACCTGATTTCAATCTCAAAATCGACTAATTCATCCCTAAACGTAATAACAGTGGTATCACTAGTCACAACAAAGTAACTAATATTATCTCAAACCTGACGCTCGGCAAATGCAGCTTCCAAGTCAAGCTCTTTTACACTGACTTTCTGCAGAAGTTACAATCTTGTCAGATAGATGCATGAAACATAGAAAAACGACTTGATAAGCTGCTCACCGTAATCATTTTAGGAAGCAACGCTTTCTTATAATAAGCTTTGGAGTATTCAATGCGATTTTCTTCATCAAAATCTTCATCATCAGTTAACTCTGTCAAGTTTTTGCCTTTATATTTAACAGGATTTGCCTCCATGTCATCCAGAATCATTTGTTCAGCATTATGGATTTGCCATAACTGCAGAATAAGATAGAAATGTTAATCACGACTTGTTAGCTGAGATGATCTAAGGTGCTCCAATACGCATGTTGCTAAGAGATAAATTTTGGGGTCAGCAGTTTAAAAATATGAAGACACGGATCAATTACTTCAGTAAAGGGGGTTAACATTGATCAGTTTGATCCATTTTTAAGCACATTCATACAACACATAGCAACTTCAAAGGAGATTTTAGTGAACAACTTAGTTAAAGTTGTCAAAAGAAGCTTAAGCAGAATTTTATGGCTATTATAGGTATATAGACATATAGCAATGGCTATTTAAACGTAACTAGTTTGAAGCTAAGTTGCTTGGACATGGGTGCGGGTGTCCGCCACGGGTGTGGATCTAGAGGTCGGATATTTCGAGATGTAAATTCTAAGATGGGATACAGATCCTAGTACTGATACAGGTACAGGGATCCGGCAAAAAACAATTCAAAAAAATAAAAAAATAAAATAATCTCTAAATTATGAGAAATTTTGTGGAATACTTGCATATAGCTTGTAAAGTGTGGATTTCTTTTTTATTCTCAAGTTGTAGATAAGTAAAGGATTGATTTCCTAGATAAGGTATGCTATTTCTTCAAATTTACCTAGTTGTGGTTCTGATTTCGAGAATCAAATTGTATATCATCTCGAACTTTTCCGTCCGTCGTGTTCAAAGTACCCAAAATTGTTTGACCAGATCCAGTACAGATCCCATATCCACACCCATACCAGTGTCGTGTCGACACGGGTACGGCACCTAAACTGCCGTGTCGGAGCAACTTAGGTTTGAAGAGCTCATGCAGAACTAAGCTCCAGCATTCAAAGCTGTATAAATGCTTAAACAAAGAGGCATACCTTGTCCACGTAGGGGTGATTTGATAATAGTGGTTCTTCTTCGACTTTGACTCCAGGGTCTTTTCTAGGAAGAGGTTGTCTTCCACAGTCACGCTATGAAGTGAAATGAGACAGACAGAAAAATCATAATATAGAAGATAAAGTGAATCCAACATCCTACGAAATATGAACCAAATCAGGCATCATATAATAGGACCATTAATAGGAAATACAAAAGTCGGCCAAAATAAAATGGTACTTACGCGCAATTCATCTAGATTTGTATCCTCATCACGGTGAAATATAGGCGCAAAATCAAATCTATTAAAGCTGCAATCATAACTCTCTCTGTTAGTGTCAGAATATATGACCCAAAGCAGCATCTATGTGTTTCTGGAAGCATAGTATGAACACTGACGAAATTTGGGAAATGAATGTCTTAGAAAGATCATAAATGCACTTAAAAACCAGAAAATTAAGATTTGCAAATCTACATACATTAGGTGATCTATGTTAGGATCAATAAAGCGCATCTCAATAGGGAACCGAAACCTGTAAGGATCGCGTTTAGCCTGAAAAGGAACAAAAAAATATTAAGGCATCAATCCACCATAATTGAGAGTGTCTCAAGCATCTTAAATATGAAAATAGTTGTGAACCAGAAAGGAGAAGTGAAACTACAAGATATACATAAGTTTTTACATGAGCATACAAGATCAGATGTCCTGCCTTTGTACTTTATCACAGAATTCCAGAAAATTATCTCAATTTCATGAAGATGGTTAAAAGAAAGAAGGTAAGAATAAGCGCAAATGAACCAAAAAACTGATTGGGCTACGTGCTTTTTTTCCGAGACAGCCAAACTAACAGCAGCTATATGTCTTGTAACCTAAACTCATACACATGCGTAATATAATTGTGTATATTGAATGACATCCCAGAAATAAGGCTCCTACTGGCCCCTAAATCTGTCAGATTTTCTCAATAATGCATGGCAATCAATGTATCGATTCCTATAACCTCTGAATACATATGAAGATAGGCTAAATCTGCAATCTGGTGTTTAACTAATACACTTAATTCCAAGTTCATTGAGAAGCCAAAAACCAACAAGATAACTGATGATAAGTGCATAATGGAGCATGATTCTCAGCAGAATAGTGTAATATACTCTTGTAGCCCAAGTGACTTGCTAGTCAAATGATATGATATTGACTAGAAACTCGGATGTTGTTCTTTGATGTACAGAAATTCAGATTATATTAAGCATCACTCACCAGAATTTCAACTATGACATGCATACCAACTTTTATGTGATGGCGGATCCAATACCAGTCATTTCGCTTTATTGGCACCCACCTGAAATGCATTGACAAAGGAATCATCAAACACAATAATCTGAAGTTTTCATCTATACGTCCGGAATTTTGTTATACAGGTCATATGAACAAGCTTACCCATCATGAACACCTCCAATGTCAACAAATGCTCCTTGATAAAGATGTATAGCTGTCACCTTACCTGCACAAATCTGAAAAAAGACTTCCTATAAGCTTGCCTTTCTTTAAAACTCATGTGTCGCAATGATTAATAAATTGATATAATTTCCAATTGAATTGAGCAATGCAAGACCTATTACAAAAAGTAGCTCTATGTCCTAACAATCTGAAATGGATAACACTAATCCTCGATGAGGTTTTAGTTTTGTGTTAATTTACAGTTTCCTAGATTTTGTGTGAGACATAAATTTACAGTTTACATATTACAAAGACGTTGAAAATGCATGTCAAATTGCTCTAGTAATTAAAACTAGAGAGAAAATGAATGTGCACCTATAGATAACAAAGGATCGTATCAAACTTTGACAAAAAGGGGTAGCATGGGATACCGGCAAAAAAAATGTGGCTAAAAGTAAAATTAGAAGATAATGTTCTATCATTTCTCTTCAAAAGTGCATACATGTTTATTTTTACCGCCAAACTGTAGGAGAAACTACTCAAAGATGATAGAAACTACAGGGAGAAACATAAAAGAACCAAAAGACAAAAGAGAAAAAAGGTGGAACTACAGACTACAATACCATTAAGCTCGTTTGGTTGAATAAAAATATACAAGAATCAAATTATCCTGCTCAAACAATTTTTTTATCAGGATTATCCCGCTCAGACTTTTAAAAGTAAAATATGGCTAAAGCACTTCGTAATCTCTTCAATAACTGCACAAATTTTCATATTCATCCATCGAGATGTATGAAAACAGAGTTCCTAATAGTCAAAAGTAAGATTCACGGTATTATCATCAGAGAAAGGGAAAGGAAAGCAACTTACTTGTCCTGGGTAGTAAAACGGGAGTTCATACTGCAAACAAATGAATAGGGGGAAAAGTTATGACAAAAACATACATCACTAACCCAAAATAAAGAGCAAAAATATTCAACAGCAATAGGAAATGCAACACTATCATACCATTCCATCTTGGTAATCCTTTCCCCTTTTTCTCCTCCCAGGATAATAATCCTGGTCATACTGCACAGACATCACAAATTGCACGTAAGTAGTAGATATTGATGATCCAAAAATACATTCTTTTTTCAGCATTTTTTCAGACAAAAGTGAAGCGCGTAAAAAAGATAAAACTTTACATCAAAAAAATTAACTCAATGTTAAAGATAAAAGCTAGTTGCAGTCTTGAACACCAATACATGCTACCTCTAAATACAGTATTTGTGATAGCACAGCAAGAATTAAAGACTTCAGCAATGCATTAATAGCCTAACATTAACATAAAACCTCATTAACGGATACAAATAACCCTGTATTACCTTATAAGATTCTTTTTCCAATCTATCTTTATTAGCAGCAACCCACTCATTGTACTGCTTCAGAAACATCTTATACCGGTCCAACCCCATATCATCAGTCTCCATTTTCACCATTTCCTCCACTTTATCATAGTCCACTCTCACTGACTGCAGCTTATGGGTTTCCCTAATGAACTCCAATTCCTTCTTATCAACCTCCCACCCCCTCGGCGGCCAGTCCCTAGGCGGTACATGACGAACCACTAAAGGCCCAGCCCACATAGTACTCAAAGGCTCAGGAATTTCACCTTTAATCTCAAATTGCTTAGCGTAATACTCATCTTCCGTTATACCCATATCTGAAATTTTCTTTTTTCGGTAGTTTGGGCTAAGCATTTTAAAAGCTTCAATAGCTTCAGGTGATTGAAGGGCGACTTCTTCTCCTTCGTTGAGAGATTTTCGGGCGAAATTAGCTTCAGGTGAAAGGATTTCTTCCCATGGAGCCCAACCACGGTCGACCCAGTTTTTGCGACGGGCTTCTTCTTCGGATTCTTTCTCCTTGGGCCCAAATGCTTCGAGAAATGCGTCGTCATCACCTACTGGGAATTCATCTGAACTGAAACAGTGAAGTGTAAGAGGTCGGGAAGGCTTGGATAAAGAAGAGGGGAATAAAGAAAAAGAACTGAATTTTGAAGATTGGGGTTTAAGGAGGGTTTTAGAAGATGGGAATGTGAAGAACAAAGAAGAGCTTTGAAGAGTTTGCATCTTCAGGCGATAGCGGGAGATTGGAATGCCTCCCTCCCCTAGAATCTAGATTGCTTTGTTTTTGTATAGATAAAGTTGGTTTGTTCAATTTCTTTATTATTAGAGAAAAAGGTCCAAAAATGAATTTGTGGTATTCGAAATGCATCAATTATAACCTCGTTTAAATTTGAGTCCAAAAATGACTCTGTCATTATAAAATAGGTCTGATAATGTCTTTGTATTATTCAAAATAGATCAATTATAACCCCCATTTAAATTTGAGCTCACTAATGACCCTGTCATTAAAGAATGGATCTAATACTGCTATTTCCCTCAGTCAATAATGATTAAGGGTGCAAATGAATATTTTAGAACCGACTAAACCGACATAATCGTACCGTGCCGAACCGATTTTTAGGTTTTTTTTAATAAAACCGTATGTTTTTATATAAATCTATAACTGTATCGATAATTATGGTAGATTTTTTATTTTATAAAAATAAACTGAAAAAATATTGAACCGTACGGTTCAATATTTGCAAAATATATATTTTTAAGTCTTTTCAGTTTTTTTAAAGTATTTGCTTTTGTAAAAACTGGAAAACAAAATATGTTTTTAAAAATACTTTTAAAAACTGAAAAATATATATTCTGTAAAAACTAGAAAAAGAAAGGAATTTGCAAAATATATATTTTTAAGTCTTTTCAGTTTTTTTAAAGTATTTTTTTTGTAAAAACTGGAATTTTTTTTTTTTTTTAAAACTGAAAAAAAAACTCTCCTAAAGAAGTGGACTACATATGCATTAGTTTTAAAAAAAAAATATTTTGCAAAATCTTTTTTTTAAATTTGACGGTTCAATATTTTTTCGGTTTATTTTTATAAAATAAAAAATCTACCATAATTATCGGTACAGTTATAGATTTATATAAAAACATACGGTTTTATTAAAAAAAACCTAAAAATCGGTTCGGCACGGTACGATTATGTCGATTTAGTCGATTTTTAAATATTCATTTACACCCCTAATCATTACTGACTGTGGAAAATAGCAGTATTAGACTCATTCTTTAGCGGGAGGGTCATTAGTGAGCTCAAATTTAAATGAGGGTTATAATTGATCCATTTTGAATAACACAGGGGCATTATTAGACCCATTTTATAACGGCAGGGTTATTTTTGGACTCAAATTTAAACGGGGTTATAATTGATCCATTTCGAATACCACAAAGTCATTTTTGGGCCTTTTTCCTTATTATTATTATTATTATTATTATTATTATTATTATTATTATTATTATTATTACTGGGGAGAGGGAGGGAGGAGGCCATGTCTATGCTCCTTCAAAGACTTAATTACTGGCAAGTGGGGTAACAATAATCACATGCATCAGTTATGAATACCATAATTTTGTTGAAACCAATGGAGATTAGTTAATTTAAGAATATCTTATCACTTTTTCACTTCTTCTTCTTGTTTTTTAAGTTTGAAAAAATGCTTATTTAATTTTTATTTTAAGATAGCAAAAGAAAGGGATGATAGCCCATGATTGAAATTAAAAAAGGTATATTATTGGATAGTGTTACAAGAGATCTGTTGCAAATTGGTTGCAAGAGATGTTCTTGTATAACCCTATATTCTATACATTGCAAATATATTTATCATTTTATTATGTGTTTGGTTGAATTGTTTATTCGGGTATAATAATTCCGAGATTATTTATAGCATTATTTTGATATTATTCTTATATTGCACTTTACGTGTCAAAGTAAGCTATCTCAAGATAAAATAATCATAAGACAACTTCAAAACTCTTCTTCCGAAATCATTTAAGAAGATCAAGGTTAAAATTAAAAATAAAAATATGTATAAATTCATCTACACTTGTGTAAAATCAAACACATACTCTATATTTTATCCCCGTATATTCATTTTTAATTCAATAAATCAAACATCTATAAAAAAACGTATATCACTAAATAATAGTGTGTGTTATTAAATAATCCTCATATTATTATTCCTTTGTTGCCTCAACAAGGTATAAAGGTCAAAATTTTCATGTTACTCTTCGAGATTTCATGATATTCATACTATTTCAAATCAAATAAAAACGAAGAGTACTTGCTAGCTTTTCTATTGTTAACTTGTGGAGTACTACAGCAATTTTTGTTCTTCAGATAATTAGAAAAGCCAATGCAGACAGAGAATGTTGTGAACACATAGATATAAACTACTTAAAGTACGTACTCCTTCTCTGACAAGTTGATTAATTATACTATTTAAGAAACTAGTTTTAGTTTACATGTGTTGCACGTCACGTCAATTAATATAAAACGTGTAAGAAGAATAAATTATTAAAAATTAGCCATTGATGTTATACTAAATGTGATATTTGTTCAAATGATCAAAATGAATGTTATTACATTTATACAATACCTGAATTCAATATAAGATGATATTTGGTTAAATTAGTTATATGGTATTTGGAGTTTAGAGATTTTATTATCATTATTATATAAGATATAAAATATGCTATGTTGTTATATCTCATTCAACATCTCTTTTATTAATATTATATTAATAATATTATAGTACAAGAAAATAATAAAATAGTTACTTTCTTTGTTTCAATTTACATGAGGTAGTTTGACTCGGCATAGAGTTTAAGAAAAAAGAGGAAGACTTTTGAAACTTGTGGTCTTAAAAGTTTAAGGGGTAAAAATTTTGTGGGCCATGACATTTGTGTGGTTATAAAAGTTTCTCATTAAAGGGTAAAATGAGTAAAATGAAGAGTTTAAAATTGAATTATTTCCAAATTTAGAAATGTGTCATTTATTTTGGAACAGACTAAAAAGGAAAGTAGCTCATCTAATTTGAAACGGAGGAGTATTACTTAATTAATTGTCAATTTGGGACAAACTTTTTTTTAACGCAATTAAGCGCACAGTCTTTGAGTTGGTATAAATGAAGTATAAAAACTTTATGCTAATCATCGTATAAGGAATAAATCAATTTTCAATTTTTCTAGACAATACAAAAATAAAATAGTATAATTTAATTTATCAAGATTCTAAAATAAATATTTTATGTAGAAAATTGATTTAAGCTATTTTTATAACAAAAGATATTAAAAGTTTAAAAATGTGTTCTGCTCTATTCTTTTTTCTTTTCTTGGGTTGAGTCTAACATTAAATTTTTAAAACTTTAAATATTAGATGTCTGTTTTTAGCATGTGAAATTTGTTCTGTGTAACTTAAGTACATAGAACTCGTAGTTGTTCATTTAAAGTGCAACGACTCGACCGGTCGTTTTGAGTATTATAACCCTGTTTCCTCATTTACTGCTCAAGTTATGCTTTACAGTTATTTTATGACTTACCGGGTTAGTTGGTTCGGGTCCGGAAGGATTTCAGAGTGAAATGAAACATTTAGTCTCATAATTGAAAACTTATGTTGGAAAAGTTGACCAAATATTGACTTATATGTAAACGACCTCAGAATTGAATTCTGATGATTCCAATAGCTCTGTATGGTGATTTTGGACTTACAAGTGTGTGTGAAAAATTATTTGGAGGTCTGTGGTGGAATTAGACTTGAAATGGCGAAAGTCGAATTTTTAGGAAGTTTGACTGGGGTTGACTTTTTGATATCGGGGTCGGAATCCAGTTCTAAAAATTTTCATAGCTCCGTTATGTCATTTATGACTCGTGTGCAAAATTTGAGGTCAATCGAACGTGATTTGATAGGTTCTGGCATTGTTTGTAGAAATTGGAAGTTTCAAAGTTCATTAGGCTTGAATCTATGTGTGATTCGTGGTTTTAGTGTTGTTTGATATGATTTGAAAACTCGACTAAGTTCGTATCATGTTTTAGGACTTGTTGGTATATTTGGTTGAGGTCCCAGGGGCCTCGGGTGAGTTTCGGGTGGTTAACGGATCAAATTCGGACTTAAAAGAAAAGGCTAAAATTTCTGCCTTCTGGTGCAATCACACATGCGTAACTTGGCTCACAGGTGCGAGCACGCAGAAACGCAATGGCCATCTCAGGTGCGCAGGGTCCGCAGAAGCGGACGAAAATCTCTCAAAATTGAGCTTGCACGTGCGAGCTGGGATACGCAGAAGCGGAGGCTGGGCTGAGCGCAAATGCAGAAGGCATCTCGCAGGTGCGGACACACACATGCGCGTGGGGGATCGCAGAAGCATTAAATTGCACAGAAGCGGGGGAAAATCTGCAAAAGCGGTTAAAATTTCGCAGGTGCGGAACCTCTAGACAATGTACAAAAATAGAGGGGTCCATGATTTTTTTCATTTTTTGGACATTCCAAACACGAGTTGAGGCAATTTTTGAGCGAGAAATCACGGAAAATCTTGAGGTAAGTCACTTGTGATCATTTCTACTCCATAATATTGAATTATCATCGAATAATTTGACTAGATTACATATTTTTGAGGTGTAAATCGGAAATTTGGGCCTAGAGATTTGAAAATAAGATTTGATGATTTGGGGGTCGAGTTGAGGTCGGATTTTGATAAATTGATATGGTTAGACTCGTGGTTGAATAGGCTTTCGCATTTTGTAACTTTTGTCGGGTTCCGAGACGTGGGCCACACGGGCGATTTTTGAGCTAAATTTTGGATTTTGATGGAAAATTAATATTTTCTTATGGAATTAATTTTAATAAATTTTATTGACTGAATCGAATTATTTGTGGCTAGATTCGAGGCGCTTGGAGGCAAATTCACGAGGCAAAGACATTGCAGAATAAAGAATTACACGGTTTGAGGTAAGTAACAGTTCTAAATTTGGTCCTTAGGGTATGAAACCCCGGTATATGTATTATGTGATTGGTTTTAATGTGACGCACATACTAGATGACGGGAGTGTGAGTGTGCACCATAGGAATTATGACTTAGTCAATTCCATGGAACTGTGTAGTTGAAAAATCTATTGATAGCCGTACTTTTTTCCCCGTATTAGAGAAATTGATCTATGAATCATGTTTAATTCATATGTTTACACTGTTGGGACCCATAGAGGTCGTGTACTTGTGAAATTATCTCCTAAATTGTTGTTTTGCACTGA